GTGTCTGACTATGTTAAACATTACACAAACACAGGCTACAGTAATCACTGTAGACATGTCAGATAATGTCCATCCAGTTATTGCTGAATGTCAGACCAACATGTGGTCGTACATGGGTTAGAAGTTCGTTGTTTTGTTGTCTAACTCAATGGATGACATTTTTATTGTCAATAAATGATTGGCCCACACATCAAAAACAGGAATATTGTTTTAAAGACAACATGTTTGATATATGTTTATATGTTTTATGTAACTTGATATAATTTTGGCATTTTTTGTTGGTTAATTACACAGGATAATCACAAAATTTCAAACTGCTATACGTCCAGATACATTTGCAAGCATAATGTAAGCATAAACGTTATCACACTGACAGTTTTCTTGTACAATGTACATAGTTATAACTTGATTGACTGAACAAGGGGCCACTTGGACCCTCAGTAATGTTTTCCCGCGTGAGCGCTCATCTGACAGTGAACTACCTGAGGGAAGTTGATCTGTATCATAAATTGTAACTGTGTAATGTGACTAACGAATTGCCTGCTTTTAACTTTGGTGCTATGACTTTTTCGGTTTTTAAATGACAATGTAATGAATATATGCTTTTGAAATAAAACTCATTCCGAGTATGTACTTACAATGTTTATTAATGCAAACTTGTTCTCGTCACTATATGGCTGGAATAATATGCCAATGTGACGTAAAACCCAACTCAACTCAACTCAAGGGGCCTAAAGGAAAACATTACAAGACTGTAGGGTTGGAAGATTACTTTAGTTAAGGTATATTTAATGTGTCTTGTCCAAGAGTTGCGTATCCATTCTAACATTAGTGCATATCAACAATCATTTCAATGTCATGTAAAAGCATGGGTATATATTTTACAAACTGGAAAGTTCATTGGAAAAATGAGAAAAGGGAGTTTTGATAAAGTTGTTGGACAGTTTCATTTTGATGATGATGATGGAGATTCTGTGAATGCTTCTGGAAGACATTTTTCACTCATTATCCCCCGCAACGCGTTTTGCGGGGGGTATTAAAATGGACTCAGTCCGTGCGTGCGTGCGTGCATGCGTGCGTCCGTCTGTCCGTGCACATTTGTCTTTTCCGGAGCAGAAATCTGAATACATTTTTGGCGTTTCCATGGCAACAAGTTCGACTTAGAATGAAATTAGTGGTAGTGCTCTTTTCCGGAGCAGAACTCTAAAACCGTTCACTATTTCTTCACCAAACTTGTCACATAGATAGATCTGGTGGTGTACTGGTGCCTTTTGGTAGTTTTGGATTTCTGAATAAAATATTTTTGGCATTTCCATGGCAACAAGTTTGACATAGACTGAAATTGGTGATAGTGCTCCGTTCTGGAGCAGAACTTTAAAAGTACTCTCCTTCCACTTTTCTATATACACACCTAAATATGTGACATAATCATGAAGAGTATTTTGCCATTGCACGTCTAGTCAGTGAAATGACAGCATGGAAAGTGAGATACGACGATATAGGCTAGAAATACCTGCTCTTGGCTGGAGGGGTCTGTGGGGCCCTGTAGAGGTAGTCTCACAAGACAAGAGCGTAGTTTTTTGTTTTGTAAATATTTTTATTCAAATATTGTTACAGCTGTCGTAGGGATTTTTAAATGGACATTTAAATGCTTATATGTACCCCAAGGAGGACTATATTCAAAGAATCTGAAACCTCTACAGGTTAGTTCGAATTTTAATGTTCCTGTAACTTTGAATTGATGAAAAGTTAAAACAGTCTAAAACTTGACATTAACAAGATCAGCACAGTCTGCTGACAAACATGAATGTTTTAGAAAACACCATATATATTTACAGTTTTATTATAGTCACCCTCCAATGATTTCAGAATTCACCATTGATATTTCACAGGTCAGCACACATGTAGACAACAAGGAAAACTTCATACATTATGCACATAATTGTATGTGATCGTGATCTTTGATTATTCAGATGATATGCAAATGTTTTTTTTTGGCCATGCTGTACCAGTTCAACCTGAAAATTGTTTAGCGATGAATGCAATGTTTTGAGATATGAAAACCACAGTGAGATCATCTGTCAGAATCGCATGTATATGCTGTAAGCAGGCTCGGGATCACGTGACCCTACGTATTCTCTATGTCAACATGACTAATGAAGTGTGCCACGGTTCCCTTTGCTACAATGGAAGAAATGGCGCAGATAATCCACGAGTCTGCAACCAGTACATATGATTAATGTTGCTAGATAGTTGGTTAGAAATATTCAGGGACTTGAATGCCTTGTTTTGGCCATATTGCCCTGAATGGCCAATTTGATACATTGCAACTTCATTTTGAACATATCTGGCATTCACAGGAAAATGATACTGTCCTGTCACTGCCTGGAATTATTTGATGAATTTTGGTTTTTGTCATAGTTCAAATTTGTTTCACTTAGATATTTTGTTTGCTTTTTTAAATTTAATATGTTTATCTTTTAAATAATTTGTTTATTATACATCACGTTACTGATCAGTTGTTTATTCTGTCTGCACCACTATGTCAACACCCTGAAAAGACAAAGAATGTGAAAAATTGCTGTTTACACTGAGGCTCTACTTTTAATAATTCATTTGGTTTAAGGGTCTGCCGATGTTTGTTCTTCACCAAATTTATTTAAATTTTTGTGAAAAAATAGAACTGTGCACACAGTATGTTTAACTGCATGACCAACAGAACAAGCATGGTGAACCAAGATGTCCTTTTGGACAAATGTCTTCTGTTCATTTTTATCACCCTTAAATGAAAGGAGCCTAGGTGATGGCATGATTATCATCCTTTCTTCCGGGCGGTGGGGTAGCCTAGTGGTTAAGGGGTGGTAGAGTAAGGCATTCACTGAAAATACAGGTTCCATTTACCATGTGGGTACGATGTGTGAAGCCCTGGTGTCCCGGCAGTGATGTTGCTGGAATATTGCTCTAAACGGTAAAAACCAAACACTCTCTTCTCTTCAGAAGCAACTGGACCATGCTGGTGCTTACCAATGAAGACCCCTGAATTTGCTAGAAAAAAACAAATCCAATTTCCAATTTAGCTACCACAGCAGCCAAATTGAAAATCACAGTTAAGCAGATGAAATTTGGTATGGGTGTTTCTAGTAGTGGGGTTCAACACTCACGTTAATGTTTTTACGAGATTTTAATTTTTACCTCGTTAAGTCCTTCAAAATAAGCTATAAGCTCAGTGAGCATCTTCTCATGAACAAGGGTTTTACATTCTTGTTCCAACCTCTGATGACATCTAAATTTCCCAAGGTTTGAATTGGATTTTTGATATGGTCAAAATGGCCGACAAAAGTCAGTTGAGAAATTGTTTGCAGAAGGAAATCTAATCTTTTACACTCTTTAAAACTTTGATGTTCTGTAAAACCTGAGACATGTAAAAAAGGTAGAATTGCATCATGCATTATGTCAGCATGAGCTGTATTCTCCAGACCTGTTATTGTCTGATTTAAGTGAAGTTTAATACTTGGAATACTGGCTTGGTGCCACTCAGTCAGGGAAATAACTAAAGCTGTAGATTTATCCAGCATGCTTCAGGATGAGAGGTCAGTTGCTGCATCAAACATCTCCATCACAACATGATAACAAACATACTCCTTGTAACTCAAGGTCGGGTTAAAGAGAATCTTTCAAAACAAAGTAAATTTCTGTTATCTGCTAATTTGTTAGATTTTTATGTTTTTGTCCCCAAGATTGCATTGTGTGTAAACCCGTATGGGTATTTGAGTTTATCTTTTTCTTCTCTTGAAATCTTGCCAGCCTAGTGGTTAAAGTGTTCGCTCGCTGAAGACCTGGGTTCGATTCCCACATGTGTACAATGGGTGAAGCCATTCCTTGTGTCCTTAGCCTTGATATTGCTGAAAGAGGTGTAAAATTTAACTCACTCACTCACTTCAACCACCAGGCTGGAGAGTAGTTTGTCATGCAGACCTTGCAACAAATATATCCAATAAATATAACACTTGGCAAGTCTAGATTACTGCTGTGGTGGTGGTGGTGGAATTGGGTTTAACGTCGTGCTTGAGAATATTTCGCTCATATGACGACGTGCATGCGTGTGTATGTGTATGTGCTGCTGCTTGTACTAGCCCAGACTGAAGCTGGTTTTATAGTGCTAGCCCACTGTGATACCATGCCGCAGTGAAGCATGAATACCCCACTCAGACACATTATACTGACTCTGAGCCGACCAGTCCTTGTTGTACCCATTAATGCCGAGCGCCAGGCAGGGACCAACAAGTACCATATTTTAACGTCTTTTCCAGGCGGACGTCTATCCACTACACCAAGGAGGCGGTCAGATTACTGCTGTAAACTAAACATGAAATAGGTTTCTTGGCTCTCATTTTATTTTATTCTGTTAGATGGTTTTAGAACTGATGTATTAAGGGTAAACCATGTTCATTTCAGAGACTAGAGTTTAGTCTTGGTGGGTAGGCCAACCAAACATTAATGCTTCAAGCTTATCATGACTGACATCAATTATTTTATACAGATGCTTGCACATTTAAATTTTTTTTTATATAATTGAAAAAGAAAATGCCTTCCTCATCATGTCTTTAGTGACTGAAATGTGTACAATGTGTGAAGCCCATTTCTGGTGTCCCCCACAGTGATATTGCTGGAATATTGCTAAAAGCGGCGTAAAACTAAACTCACTCACTCTTTGGTAACTTTGCGGGTTTCATAATGATGTGAATTAGTTTGACTTATGTCTTTTAAACTCACAAAGTAGATAGTTTGTGCAAGTTGTATTGACTACCTGAATTTTTGTGTGCGATTATCTCTTAACACTGGTTGCATTGTGTGATTATTTGAAGTACAGTTGGCGTCCACATCGCATCACCTAAGTTTTTGTGTTTTTTTACTCTATTTTCCAGCATGTAGATTGATGGCGCTAGGTCTCCTCATGATGGAAATGGCTCAGAATAATGTTAACCATTCTATATTTTCAGAATAACCAGTTCCATGGAGTCGTCCGTTCCTTTTTCCAAGGCGGTGGTGCCAACGTCATCACGAAATGCATCCGTGTGGCAAGTGATGCCACAACCACGGAAGTCATCGATGTCCTCATTGAGAAGTTCAGACCCGACATGAGAATGCTTCAACAGTGCAGATATGCTCTCTATGAAGTACACGTTAATGGAGGTATGTACCTTTGGATAAGGGCGTTTCCCGTTATCTGTCTTCTATATGAGGCGAAACCTATTCATTTCAGCTCCTGAAGGCAGGAGGGAAACAGGAGAATTAAATAACTTTTAGTTATACTTTAAAGTAATGCAAAATTTTGCATATGTCATTAAACCGTACAAAAATAATTCTAGTGTTCTATGGCATCAGCTGTCAGACATCAGCAGTGCTTCAGGAAGTTTCATTACACATGAGGATCGGTACAAATTCCTCTTTGCCTTACAAGCTGGGGCTATGCAAGTTCGTATGTCTGTGCTAAGCTTGGATTCTTATCAAATAACCTGAATTCATTCAAGTAGTTACTTAACTAGATAAGATGGAATTTGCTTTCAGCAGTCGGTAAATGCAGGTGTTTTTTCTTAATATGATGTGATCTAGAAACAGGGAGTCATTATCATGTGTCATACTCTGAGAGAAAGAATATCATGGAGATTACTATGTATTTGTGTTTTTATGAGGTTGACTAAAGAAGAAAAAAAGAAAGGTTGGTGAGCATTGGCATTTCACTTTAATTCCTGTGCATCAGACATTTATGCTGCCATCAAAGAAAATAGTTTTCAAATTTCTGCCTCATATGATGCAGATTTGTTATGCATGCTTGACAACTGACTGAGCCTAGTTCAGTGTGTCCAGATTGTTGGTGTTCTGGGTGGGACAAGTGTTCTTCACTCATCACTTTTGTTTTTGATAGAAAATTTTAAAACTAAAGTCATTTCATATTCCTCACATTAGGAAAAAATGTTTTTATTATGCATCCCTCCAGTCAAAATCCACTTGAACAGTAGATCTATTGCCTTTTTTATCCCCCACAACGTGTTTTGCGGGGGGGGTATTAAAATGGACTCCGTCCGTCGTCTGTGCATACACATTTGTCTTTCCGGGGCAGAACTTTAAAACCGTTCACTATTTTTTCTCCAAACTTGGCACATGGATAGATCTGGTGGTGTACTGGTGCCTTTTGGTAGTTTTGGAATTCTGAATAAAATATTTTTGGCATTTCCATGGCAACAAGTTTGACTTAGATTGAAATTGGTGGTTGTGCTCCTTTCTGGAGCAGAACTTTAAAAACCTTTCAATACTCTCCTTTCACTTTTCTATATACACACCAAAACATTTGACATAATCATAACTTGTAGACATATTCATGAAGAGTATTTTGCCATTGTGGGGGATATTGATGACTTTGTCTTCTTGTTCTCACTGGCTATGTGATTGGAAGTACTAGATTTAGTCAATTTTTGGTGCTTCACAATTAATTCAATACAAAGATAATAATGTCATTTAGAAGCGAGAGACATCTGCCTTAGTTACGTGTCAATTTTGCAATCAGTTTGTTAATGTTTATCTCAAGAGGAAGAATACTAGAGGTTTGATTTATGTGAGGGTGTCCAAATTATCCGACTACTCCAGGAACACCAGCTTCTGGCAGCTTGCAGCTCGAGCCGGGCTTGCTGTGGACAAGTCTACTTTAGATCTCTTCATGTTCAGCTGACTTGGAGATCTAGATAAACAAGCAGTAGGAGTAGATCTTTCACCAGTGTTGTTTATACTCAATACCTCTGTTTATTCCCTGTACTTACATGGCTCTGAAGGTACTGGTGCTATACTAAATCAAACTAACGAATATTGTTTGGCACAGAGCAGCTTGTTTTTCACATGTCTCTGTCCAGTGCTAGGTTCCTTGTGGATGTGGTATGTGCGAAACTGACCGTGATGTATTTCTCATTGACTGAAGGACATGATACGGGCAAAATGAACTGTGAAATGGGCAGGTGTTTTAGCCGTTAAGTTCTTTGTATTGTACAGGATACTGATATTGACATTCTTATTGGGGAAAGTGGCGGGATCTACATGAAACGACTTGTACGGGGTTGTGTGGCCAGTGTGGTGGCATGGAGACTGAATAGCTGTGTGGTTTCTGCTCTTATCTAAGTGGCTGGATGATGAATTGAAACAGCTCTTTTGTATTGGGTGGATCTGGACATAGTAACCTTCTGGTATGGATAACTGTGTAGCTATATGTAACATGTAAGGCTTGAACAAGTATTTCTGAAATCTTTGATAGAGATCTAAAGTTTTGAAATTGATTTTTGTAACTTTCACAAATCTGGGTTGTTAGATAAACACGCAATCTTAATCATAATTTTGATAGAAACTAATTATTCAAATTTAACTGAAAAGGAGCTCCAGTAGGATCGAAAATACCTGAACCTGAGGAAAATCCAGACTTTCTTCACTTGGAGCTTTCACTTTTCAAATAATGTTCAGGGAGATTGACTAAGTTGTAGTGGTGTTCTGATTAATTGAAATAATTGAAGATTGGTCGCAGTGGCCAAACGACCAAGCAATCGATCACATTTTCTCATAATCGAAACACAAACGATTTTGGAACCGCTGTAATAGAGTTTGAAATACTTGATGATGGAACATATCTAGGACGTTGTCAGGGCCCGGAAAATGTGTTTAATTCTTAGAAAACTCACCTCACTTTCTGAAAAGTCATGACTGAATATTTCTTGAAGAATCTGGGAAGTTTATGTTACACTGGAACTTAATCATTTTCCACTGGATGTGAAATTTGCAAATGTAATTTGTGCAGTTTCTAAATAAAACAAAAAAACAACAGAGAACCAAATGTTTTTTCTTTATACTTATGTGCAACTACAACCTGAATAGGAAAATCTAAAAAATGACGCTAACCAATTTTTTCAATGATTGGTCGTTGGTATTGAACCAATCATCAATTGTGAGATTTCAACCAATTCCCAGCACTACTAAGTTGCCATCAACCCAGTGGTAGTAACATACCAGTCTATAAGGATATATGACTCGTCCTCTCTGAATGCCACTAGTTTTGGACTAGTGGAGTTGTTTATTTTGAAATGAGTGTTTGGATGATGATTAACAGTCAAGTTTTATGCAAGTCTTTTCTCTTTTTGTAAATATGGTCCTGAGTAGGTGTTAACAACTTGATTGCTTCAGCATCTGTGAACAATAAAAGCTCTGGTTGTAGAAGCTCACTGTGATGTGTGTGGGCATGCATGGTCCACTAGTTGCTTGGTATGGTTTGTGGGTTATGGTAAGCTTCCTCTCAACTGTGACGGGCTGATTTAGGACACCCACTATTTACCACTGGCATGCTTCCTGGATGTTTACACCTGTGTAAGCACTGATCATTGTGTTATAGCAGAGGATTAACTCTTTCCTCTGGACTTGACCATTGTCCTGAACAGTATATGTCCACAGTGCATCATAATGTCACCATTGCTCATTACATTGATGATTGGGTGGTCAGAGGACTGCAGACTGGGGTAGTTATGTGGATGAGTAGTGACTAGTTAAGTCTAGTTCCACCTGAATGAGTGTATGTTCTGTTCATGTGAAGCCTCTTGATGGTCAGCCTCCGAACACCACAACCAACCTTTCATTACCACAATCAACATCACAACCAGCCTTCCAACACCGCAACCATCACCAGAACCAGCCTTCCAACATTCCAGTCTCCCTACATTACAACCAGCCTTCCAACACCGCAACCATCACCAGAACCAGCCTTCCAACATTCCAGTCTCCCTACATTACAACCAACTCCTCCAAGACCACAGCCAGTCTCCTCAAAACCAGCCACCTCACATCACAACCAGTGTTTCAAAATCACAACCATCCTAACAGGGCAACCTTCTACCCCAAAATGATATATCCTTTAAACAGCGCTATGAGAATTCCCACATGACAACCAGCCTTCCAACATCCCAACCAGCCTCCCAGCCTTCCAACATCCCAACCAGCCTTCCAACATCCCAACCAGCCTCCCAACATCCCAACCAGCCTTCAACCAGTCTCCCAACATCCCAACCAGCCTTCCAACATCCCAACCAGCCTTCCCAACATCCCAACATCCCAACCAGCCTCCCAACATCCCAACCAGCCTTCCAACATCCCAACCAGCCTCCCAACATTCCAACATCCCAACCAGCCTCCCAACATCCCAACCAGCCTTCCAACATCCCAACCAGCCTCCCAACATTCCAACATCCCAACCAGCCTCCCAACATCCCAACCAGCCTCCCAACATCCCAGCCCCAACATCCCAACCAGCCTCCCAACATTCCAACATCCCAACCAGCCTTCCAACATCCCCCAGCCTCCAACATCCAGCCTTCCCAACCAGCCTCCCAACATTCCAACATCCCAACCAGCCTTCCAACATCCCAACCAGCCTTCAACCAGTCTCCCAACATCCCAACCAGCCTCCCAACATCCCAACCAGCCTTCCAACATCCCAACCAACCTCCCAACATTCCAACATCCCAACCAGCCTCTTTCAACATCCCAACCAGCCTCCCAACATTTCAACATCCCAACCAGCCTCTTCCAACATCCCAACCAGTCTTCCAACATCCCAACCAACCTCCCAACACAACCATCTTTCCATGACCAGAACCATCCTCCCAACATGACAGCCACCTTTCCGACATCCCAACCAGCCTCCCAACATCACAACCAGCCTCCCAACATTGCCACTTACTTCCCCACCCCAGAATCCCCTCCAGACTCCACTGTAAGTCCCATGTTTCTGCCAGGAGTGTGGTAGGTACGCCCATTCTGATAGCGCAGATGCCTGTAGGTATATATCAAATGGTGAACAGGTCTGCTTTGGACATACAGGGCTATTTTCATCTACTGATTGACAAAACAAACTCCAGTGTTTGGCACTTGAACAATTGTAGCTGGTTGGTGCTGGATCTGTGATGAAACTGGTGCTGTTTTGTCAAACATTCGGTGTATCTTATCTCCATTCATCTTCATCACAAGCAAGTACTTTTGCAACAGTTAGGTGTAAGCCTGGTAATGGTGTCTGTTTACTTTCTGGTTTTCTATTCACCTCAACACTTGCTGTGAAGAGTCGCGTCCCTTGATTGATGGTTCAAATCCCGGGCCACTGATTAATTTTCTAG